GGAGCGCAGCCCTCCGGGAGCAGAAGTTGGTGGGAGGCAGCTCCCCGCTCTGCTCCGCGCGGTGCAGCTCTTTGGGTCGGAGCCGGTGCAGACGCCGTGCCGGGCGGTCTCCGTCTCCCGGCCGAGGTCTGCGCGCCAGAGGAGGTCTCAAACCATGCAGCTCAACTGCTCCCCAGTGCCTGGTGCCCCCCGCTCCCCTCCCCTGCTCCCTCCTCTCGCCACGCTTCCCACCGGCATTTCTTTTCTGCCTAGTGCGTAGTCATCCTCCGTCCCAGCCCTTTTCCCTCCGATGGTTTTTGACTGTATTTTAAATACTGTGGTTTTTTTGACTTGTGCTTTCCATGACTAGTTTTCATGGTATTCCAGGGTTGGTTTTTTTTTAACTAACTTTGACTGCGTCTCTCTATCTTCTCCCTCTGTGCACCCCCTTCCCTGCCCGCCCCAGACCTCGCAGTGTTCAAGGAGCGGCTGAGAGTGTTAACAGTAGGAGGTATGCAATTCGTGAGCCTTTAACCCTCTGGAGTGCAGGACTCTCTTTGAATAGGTTATTCTGGGCATGAACCAAGCCGGTAAAGCGGTCCCCTCCGTCTCGCACCACTCTGGAGTTTTGTAACGTGTTTGTTTTTAATTTGTCCCGCTAAAAGTCTCGATGTAGGCGCTTGGTTAGTGACGCTTCACCTGTAGAGATCCCCAGTCTGGAGCCTTGCTGGCCTTTTCTCCGCTGTCTGTTTGCATGCCTGGCTTGCTAGCGTACCTGTCTTCTTGTGAATGTTCATTTTACGAGGCCTCCACCTCCCCTCTTGGTTTGAGTCTCCTCAAAATCCAAACTGTCTTCTCCTGCCTCTGCCCTGGTTTTATCCCAGTGAGAATTTGTCAGCTCATCCCTAGTCTTCCCCCCATCTGATGGCGTTGCTGCCTGTAAATACTCTGCGCTGTCCAGAAAGCTGGCAAGCTGCCGCAAAGCAGAAGCAGAAATTGCTCCGAGTAAAACCTGATACCCCCCAAAGCGTGCCCGAGCCTTCACACCGGCGTGGCGGAGCGAGCCAAAGCCCTGTGCCACCGCGCTGCGAGCCACCAGAAATTAATCACAGAATCGTTAAGGTTGGAAAAGACCTCCAAGATCATTAATTCCAACCGTCAGATCACCAAGTCCAACCGTCAAATTGCCGAGGCTTCCCTGAGACCTCCAGCCAGGAGCTTCACGAGGATGCTCCGTGTGAATCCCACCTCTCTCCAGGACTCCTCGTTGGGTGGGAGCGGCAGAGAAGTCCTGGAGAGAGCGGGGCCGAGCCCCC